TATTGCCCCTCTGGCTTGAGAACACCGCGCCGGCCTCCGGAGGGGCGGCAGCAGAGGGGCCTCGCCCCGCCCGGGCAGCCGCAGGCCCCGCGGGCTGCTGCCCAGCGCCGGCGGGGACGAGGAACGCGGGGTCACCGCTCCTTAGGGTGGCGAAAAGTCAAGCAGTGGGCTGGGAAAGGCCGGGGTTTTGCTCGTTAAATCAGAGGCTTGGGGCATCCCTGGCTCCGGGGAGCAGTGCGGGCTGTAACAGCAGCACCCGCCGTGCCGCCGAGATTGACCGTCTTTGACCAGAGAATAGTTCTGATGGAGGAGGAATTCCTTCGGGGAGACGAGCCAGTGCCTAGCGTTTATAGTCTTTTTCAAAGCAGCGAGAGAAACAGGCAAAAAAACCCAAAACCAGAAGATGAAGGAACCAGAAAAGGCAGGGGAAGAGAGAACAAACTGAAGAACTAGAGATGGGGAAGTGGGATGGAGCCTGAAACTTGTCTGTCAAAAAGAGGGAAGAAAGAAAAACCAAAGTGAGCAATACCCTTGAGAAATGTCCTAAAATGCAGCGAGATGGTGGAATTTTTATTTCATAGTTACTGTAAGCTTTACACTCTGCAATACAAAATCTCCCAGGACTGAGAAGTAGCGGCAACTAATTAAATTCTCAAAATAGATGTCTGCTTTGCTATCAACACACTTAACAGCATAAAAAAAGTGGAATTGTATAGACATAAAAGATACATTAAAGCACAGTTACCTTAGGTTTTGAGATGATTAAGTTACTAACCAAGCTGTAAAAGGAAATATGAGGCAAACTTAAAATCCACAGAGAAATAGCAATTAAACAAACATAGGCTTAGATGAAATTGAAAAATCAGGTTGTGGCCTTGTTTGGGTTAGTTTTGTAGTCCACATAACCTCCTTGTAATCAGTGTTGATTAGTATTTAAGAACTGAGCTCATAGTACCAACCAAAAGATAACCAGTGGCATATGTAATGTGTTGCAGATTATTTAGCATTTGCCTGCTAACATAAATTCAACTTTTACATATTTGGGGAGTTTTAGAGTAAATAGAAATACTTTCTTACACTTCTAGAAGTAATAGTAACTGATGTATACAGATAAGTGGAAAGGTAAATGATGTTTAATTGTATTTAGGTGGTACATATGATACAGCTGTGATTGTTAATCGAAATGCTATTTGGGCTTACAAACTGTTGAAATAAAACAAAATATTTCACCCTTCCTACAAGTTAGTGATTGAAGAGATGTGTTATCTCTCATATAAAAATGTTATGTCTTATTCTCATATGGCTGGGTGAGTACTGCTGCTGGACTTGAATTATTTCCTGTATATATATATATATAAAAAAGTTACTTCTTAAGAAGAAAAGAAAAACCTTTTCAGAACTTTTAGTTTGAAACTGGTTTGGGTTTTTTGGTGAGCCTTCATTTCTTAATATAGCTGTATTTTTATTTGCATGTAGTAGCACTAAGAGACATCCAGCAAGCTTCATGCCTCATAAAACTGATTGTTAGGAAGTAGTAAGATACAATCCCTACCCTGAAGCATTTCATTCTAAACAATGCAAAGAAATGGAGTGAATTATGCTCTTGGTTCAAACTCTTTTTTTAATGTACTCTGAGTATATATTATAAATGATACTGTATTGATTTGTTGTGCGTCTGTCCTCAGTCTTCTGCCTTGAAGACAAAATTGCCAAAATATGCAATATGGTGCTTTTATATGAAATTTTGACTTTACAACTTTATAAAGAGATATTAAGTAAAATTAGTTTCTTAGACAAAGCTGCAGGAAAATAGCAGTCCTCTTGAAATGGTGCTTTCTCTGGTATCTGGAGGAGCAGAAAACTTATATAAAATGTAATTACAAAAATGTGTCTGCATCTAATTTTCTTAGGTCTTGCACATCTTTGCTCCAAGTATTTATACTGAGACTCAGTGAACTTACATGGCTTATCCAAGGTCAGTTAGTTAATAAGCGGTGAAACCAAAGAGTTGTGATTACAGTACTCTGACAAACTACATGATACTTTTTTTGTAGCTAATAGTGCTTTTTAGTGAATAATATCTTGAAAGTAATTACACATTACTTATATTAAAATACGGTGAATGTTTTATACTAAAAATAAGCTGTATGTGTTCTTGTGAACGGGGAGAATAAGTCAACGGGGAAGGAGCAGATTCTCAGTCTCTTCCATCTTACCTGATTGTGTAGTGATAGAAAATCTCTGGAAAAGGGGAATTCATCTCTGAGAGCTAGCATAATAAACTTTAACTTGGTTTGCTGTCCCACAGTGAGTGGCAGTAGCTGGTGCTAGGGATGGCAGAATATCTGGAGGTACGCAGATTTGTATTTTTTCCCTTCAGTCTCCTATGACAGTGGAAAGCATATGAAATTCCAGCTGTGAATTAAAACCATCTTTCTGAGTGTAGCTCCACATGTCCTCTCCTGTAGGTAAGTTTTCTTCTTTAGTTTTTATGAAGCTGTACAGCTTGCATCTCAATGCGGTCGCACAGATAAATCCAATTTGTTAATGCTTTGATTTTAAACATTTTGACTGAGGCAGACAAACAGGAGAAAACTGCAGTTCCTAAAGTGGAGGGCCAAGCTTCTCTTCATCACAAGATGAGGCACTTATGCTGTGGTTCTTGAGGCATTTGAAGAAAAATGGATCAACACTGTCAGAAGCCCAGAAGTTTGTACTTTTTATAATGAGAAATACCACAGGACTCCTGTATTTTTAGCTCTTGACTAATTTGCTTCCTATTGTAAAAGTTCACATGATGATCTTCTGTCTTCTCTGAAAGAAACTATTACAAGAATGATTTCCTTTTTTTTTTTTTTTTACTGTTCCTTTTTTAGGAATTAGAGTTCCTGTATCACTTGTAATAAAACTGTCTGTATATTGCAAACATACACATACTGCATATTTATTTTTCTTGTTGTGAATATTTTAGTTACATAAATAGGACTCTTATAGGCAAAACAAAATTACATCTACTTCCTAGCAGCACTGTACTATTTTAATATGATAAAACATCCTCAATTTTATTTTACAGAACTGCTAAATTGCACTTAGAAAGAAAATTAGAATTTAGTTTCTGCTTATGTATGTTCTACTTACGATAATGTAATAGCTGATTTGGATTAAATAGATCAGATCCCAAGAAGAAATGTAATACTCTGTAGGTCTCATAATAGATCTCTACAAAGGAATTTATTTATTTTAGAGATGAACAAGATGTTCATGTTGATGAACAAGACAGAGCAGCACAAGAAACTATTGAAATTTAAACTGACAGTCAGTTATTATCAACTTCTGTCCTCCTTAGGGGAAGGATATAGATTAAGTCCTCAGGACTAGGCTTGGCATAGGATGCATGACATCAGAGTTTTCCCCTGTTCTGCGGGGTTAGACCAAAAGTCCATCTAGCTCAGAATTATGTCTCCATGATGACTTGTAATGGATGCCTGGGAAAAGGGTGTTGGAAACAAAGCACTTACAGAGTAGCTGTTTCCATGGTACATCCTTGTAGTTTCTAGAAATAAATGGTTTACAGCATCCTTGCCTGGAAGTCTGGAATTCAGCCAATACATTTAACAGCTCTTGATGG